GGGGCCCCCCCCTCACTCCTCCGGCCACGCTGTGGGCTGCCAGGCTGCGCCCCCCCTCGCTCCTCTGGCTGCCAGGCTGCGCCCCCCCTCGCTCCTCTGGCTGCCAGGCCGCGTGCCCCCCGCTCCTCTGTCCGTGCCCGCCCCGCTCCTCCGGCTGCTTTGGGAAAGGCGGGGGAAGCGGCTGCTTCCCCTGCACCCCGCTAGCTACGCTACTGGTTCTCTCCACACACAGCTCTGCCAACGTGCCTCAATCCTGACCTGCAGCCTCCCCTCTGCTATTCTAAGAGGGCCCATCCAGTTTCACTTGAAATGGATTCTGGGGTTGCACCTCCAGGGAGTGCCTCCTGGAGTGGCCTCTAATTGCAGTCCACTAGAGCAGAACACCAGGACTGGATTCTGTGCCCCGTGTAGAGGACTCTGAACAGGTTCCTCTCTGGATCTGGGCCTGCTGCCTTGGACCCTCTGGCTGGCATTGGGAGGAGACAGAGGACTTTCCCTTCACACAAGGTCCCATCCTGTGCCACATACCTGAGGTGCAGTGCTGGATACGATTCCTCAGCCACTTCAGGAGCGGCTCCATGGTGCAGCCACAAACCCAGGGGTTGCCCCCGATCTGTAGGGTCACCAGCCCCGGGAGACCCTCCAGGGCTTCCAGGCTGAGGAAGGACAGCCCCCCATGGCTGAGGTCCAGGTCACGTAGCTGGGCTAGCCCCCGGAAAGCCTGGGGGTGCACCTTTCGCAGACACGGGTTGTGGCTCAGGTCGATCCTCACCAGACTGTTGGCTTCTTGGAACATATTAGCGGCCACGTGGCTGAAGTTGTTGTAGCTCAGGTCCAGGTGGGCCAGCCGCTTGGCAGTCAGGAAGAGCCCAGCGGGCAGCTCCACCAGGGAGTTATTCCTTAGGTCCAACACCCTCAGCTCACCATAGCAGGTGAGGTAGCCCGTCGGGATGGTGGTGATGCGGTTATGTGCCAGGCTCAGGTTCCTGGTGTCTAGGGGCAGGTCGGGGGGCACTGAGAAGAGCCGCTGCCCGCTGCAATCCACAACATGGCTGCGGCAGGTGCAGAGGACGGGGCAGCTGGCGCTGGCCTCAGAGAAAGCCATTGCCATGGCAATCAGGAAAGGGGTCAGGAGCATGGCAGAGGAGTGGCGGGACATGGGCCCCTCTCCCCACAGCCAAGTGCAGCCTGTGCCCATTTTAGTTGGTCACGAGCAACATGTCGCATGGAGGCAGAACAAGGAGTAAGTGGGAGTCACTCATGCACGAAGGTGGCTACATGCTGCGTGCAGGGGAAGGCCGGACCTTAGCGCCATTGTCTATCACATGCCAGGGCCACTGTCACTAGCACACCATGCACCGTGAAGGGTGGGCCAGGAACGACAGGGTCCCGACTCCTCGGACAACCCTTTAGTAGCCCATTCGTCACCCTTTAAAGGGTGTGAAGTGGAAAGCAAAGAGAAACGTAGCTGTATCCATCAGTCTGCACCTTCTGGTGATCCTTCAAGTGATCAAAAATGGGAGGAAAGCAACTAAAATCAGGGATTTTTTCTTCCAGTGCATCAACACCCCTGGGACAATGGTTTGAGCCCATGAAAAAAACATTCTCACTCCTTTTCACGCATTTGTCTGCTGGGAATGAATTCCCGTCTCGCTGAAGCTGAGATGGGGCCAAGCCAAGGAATTTAACCCCACTGAAACCAAAGGTATATTTTAGTTGCAAAGCAAATCCAGCTCCGATTCAGCAGGAGCCACAGGGCCTTTTCCTGGAGTCATTTAGGTCTCTAGTGCCCGAGCAGAGGAACGGCATTTGAAATCCAGATAATAGGTTCTTCGCATGGATGGTCAAAATCCTGGAGCCCTCAACATCAGCCCAATGATATAGACTCCTTGGGTGGCTTGTGCCTGAGACAATCAGGAGACACTAAGACTGAAAATGAGCCCTTTCTGAGGCTGTGATTTCTGCAGTCTGGGAGAGGCCAGTGGGGCTAGGATGGGGGGGAGGGGTTCCAGGAGGAAAGGGAGGGGGCTGGAGTCCTGGGGTATCAGCAGCTGGTTTATCTTTCACTCCCAATCTCCCTCCCAACAGGCAGCAACAGGGCTCCAGCTGGGTGACCTGCCAAGGAAACAGAGGATTCAAAGACTCAGCAACAAGGTTATCAACCAGTTGGTGTGTTCATACACTCGTAGGTTCCAAGGCCAGATCACCATTGTGATCATCTAGTCTGACCTCCTGTCTAGGGTGACCAGACAGCAACTGTGGAAAAAACGGGACAGGGGGTGGGGTGTAATAGGCGCCTATATAAGAAAAAGTCCCAAAAAACGGGACTGTCCCTTTAAAAATGGGACATCTGGTCACCCTACTCCTGTCTAGCGAAGGCCAGAGAATGGCCGCCAAATCATTCCTAGCGTAGAGCGTTCAGAGAAACAGCCCATCTTAACTGAAAAATTGTCAGTGATGGAGAATCCACCACGACCCTTGGTACATTGTTCCAATGGTTAATTACTCTCCCTATTAGAAATGTGCACCTTATTCCCAGGCTGAATTTGTCTCACTTCAACTTCCAGCCGTGGGAGGAGACGAGGGAACGGCAGGGAATCACCTCACAGTCTCTCTAACTCATTGTTCAGCTCCACTGCCTGTCTGCATCGCTCCCTGTCCTTTCACCCTATTCACTCTGCTTCAGTCCCGCTCTCTTCTATCATACCCCACTCGGCTCTGTCAGTGCTGTTCAGTTCTGACCTGCTTCTCCAGCCTCGGGTCCCCCCCACAGCCATAGCTCTGCCGTTGCCTCTCCTCTGCTCTGAGCTCCCCTCCTGAGCCCTGCTCTGTTGATGACCCTCAATCCTGCCCTGCCCTGGGCTCGCTTCACACACATGCAGCTCTGCTGAAGCCCCACGAACCTAGGCACGGATTAAGAGGTAAAGGCCTAGTCAGCTAAAGAAATGGGGCTCCAACCTCACTGACCTTGGATAAAAGACCCTCAAGTTGCATGACTTGCCAAGGGCAAAGCAAGAGCCTAATACCGAGATGAAGCGTCTGTCAACCTTTCTGATCCTTCAGTCCTGCCCGGCAGCTCTGGCTGTCCCTGGACCCCACACCACCCTGCCAATGCTCCTCCCTGCTCTGCATCATCCCCTACTCTGTCAATCCAAGGCCTCCACCCAGAGCTCTGCCAGTGCCTCTAGATCCTGCCCTGCAGGCTGCCTGCTGTCCCAACCCTGGACCTCCCTCAGGCTCTGCAAAAGCTCCTGATGCCTCCCAGCTAGCATCCCGTTTTCTTCCAGTCCTGGGCTGCTTTCCACCGCTGCTGAGGCCCATCAGTGACCTGAAGAACCCTCCGCTATTCCAGTCTTTCCCTTTTTGTCTCACTCGCCCTGTCTGGCCATATTTCTTTCTCTCCATCGCTCTTCCCAGGGACACGCCCTCCTGTGCTCCAGCTCACACCTTGCCTTCCCTTCTACCCCCCCACCCCACCCCAGCACAGCATCTCCACCAGCCCCACTCCATTTGGCCAGGAAAGCCGCTCACCAGTCCACCCTCCAGCGCTTTCTGCCCCCCACTTCTCAGGCAGGTGCACCTTCTCCCCTAGGGCCCCAGCACACCTACCGCCACACAGCCACTGCTCACCCTCCTGCACTGTCCACGCCCTGTCCTCAAGGCGCACAGACCCACAGGACAAACGCACACCCAGCCGGCCGCCGCCCTTTAGGACACACCCAGCCTGCACACTCACTCCCAGCCCCCTCTCCATCTCCTCTACCCCGCCCCCCGTACTCGGTCCAATTAGCACAAGCCAGATACTCACTCCGGCCCAAGGAGATCCGCAAAGCAGCTGCGATGCAGACAAGTATCTCCCCTCTTCCTGCGCGTCCCCATGTTCTTCAGCCCAGCAGGCATCCGTCTCCTCTCCTCGGTGGCTTCTGGCTCCTTAGGCAGCACCCCTGGCAGCTCCCCCTTGCCCTTCTCCCTGTCCGTCTGTGCGTCTGTCCGTCCCTCTCTTCTGAGGAGTGGGTGTGAGACAAGTGGAGGGAATGGCAGTGTCTCTCCTTGAATTGCAGCAGCAGCTGCTGCTGAGTCTGTTAATTCATCCAGGTCTTTCCCCACCTCCTCCTCCTCCTCCTCCTTTCTCTCTCAATCTTTTTTTTTTTTCCCCTCGAGGGCCAGGTACTGACGTGGCACTGTCTCTTAGCAACTGCCTCCACATCTCTGAGCAACAGGGGAGCTAGCTGCAGACCCCACTGAGCGGAGAGAGGAAAACGGAGGAAGCAAACGGCGGGGATCAATGCCACCCACGGGATCCTAAGGACACAGAGAGAGACAGACACACAAGCGGGGGGGGGGAGGGGGCGGTGACCTGCAGACAGGCTGGGGTGGGGGAGGCAGAGAGAAGAGTGAGCAGTGAGTCAAAGCGGATGCAAACAGGGATGTGGAGACAGAGGCCATGGGGGAAGAAAGGGAGAGATGGTGAAAAAATGAATACGAGAATGAATAAAGAAGGGCCAGGAAGGAAGCGGTGAGGAAGAATAAGGTGCCTGCGAGGGGCCCTTCAAGGTCATAAAGCAGCTGAATGAGGAGAACGATGTGGTGGAACTGCCCCACCGGGCTCACAGCCACCGGGTTTACCATGTCCACATAATGGAGCTGTACTGTGACAGGGAGAGGCTGGTACTGGCCATGTGTGGCCACTGGGAGACCGGAGCTGGCCCCTTGCTGGAATCAATACCCCTTTCTGACCAGCTAACCCCTGCCCCGCAGGCAGAGATCAGAGAGACACTGCATTCGTACCAACAACTGTTTTCCAACTGTCCTGGGCTCACTAAACAAGCTGTCCGCTGGGTGGAGATGGGAGCCAGCCTTCCCATCAGGTGTTCCCCATTCAGGGTAACTGGGAACACAGGCCAGGCCCTGGAGGGAGAGGTCAGAGACATGCTGGCTTTAGGGGTGATCCAGCCATCCACCAACCCTGGGGCCTCTCCCATGGTGCTGGCACCCAGGAAAGATGGGTCGATCCGATTCTGTGTGGCCTATTGGAAGCCCAGTGTCTGGTGCCTACCACATGCCTGAGCCTGACGAGATCCTAAACAAGTTGGGGGGGACTCGGTACCCCACGAACAGCGATCTCACCAAAGGCTACTGTCCGGAATAGACAGGCATAGAGAAGGAATGCCTGGCCCTGGGGTGGGCTCTTAAAAGGCTGCAGCCAGATCCATTTGGGCGACACTTCACTGTGTACACTGACCACTCGCCCTGCCATGGCTGCACCAGATGCAAGGGGCCAATGCCAAGCTCCTGAGGTGAAGTCTGCCTCTCCAGGACTCTGACATGGAGCTGATCCACGTTAAGGGGAGTGCAAATGTTATCGCTGATGCTTTGTCCCGGAGAGCAGGGCCTGAACTTCCCCAGGTCACTGGCTAAAGTGACCCAGCTCAGTTCGGTCTCGAAGGGGGAGAGATGTGACCTAGTGGGGATTTCCCCTTGTTATGTTGTATGTAAGCCTATGTGAGTTTTACTGTTTCGCATGAATACTGTGTGTGCCTCAGTTTCCCTGTGTGCTGCACCAATGCCTCGGTGGTGACTTTGGCTGACACCCTCTGGGGCAGGTGTGGCTGTTCCAGCTGCCTGTATGGATGCTATGACCGGTGCCCTTCGTAATCTGAGACCCAGGAGGGGGACGCAACCAGGTGACGACCAGGTGACTTTTTGCTCTGGAAACGAGACAAAGACCAGGAGGAGCAACGGGGGTGTGGGAGGTCGTATCGTTGGTAGCTGGGCTTTCTGCTTGGGGATCTGGAAGAGGGGGAGTCCAGGGCATCTGGCCTGGGATTCCCCAAGATGGACTTGAAAGTCACTGATTTCTGTGCTACCACGCTCTGTTCTACATGCTGGCTGAGAGTCACTGATGATTGCGGAGTTGGGGTGCAGGACCCTCTGGCTTCTCCAGGAGCCCCACCCAGGCAGACTCGCTGCAGGAAGGGCCCATGTGGAAGGGGATGCTGAATGCTCCTAGGTCAGATCCAGGAAGATTGAAGCTATGTAAGCTTCTTGGCCTGGCGACAGTATGCTCAGAGAGAGGAGACAAGCTCCCCCAGAGTCCTGGCTGGCTTCATATGGAGCAGTTCCAGAGCAACACCCCGGTGACTCCGTGACAGGGGGCACACAAGCTGGGCATGGGAAAGCCAGCCTGAACAGGGCTGTTCTTCCAGCCCCTCCCTCCCAACCCATGTTGGTTTTCCCCTTGCAACCTTCCCCTCCCCCAATGGCCTATTGCAGCCTCCTGGGTCATCTGGGTTGGTTATTTCGCAGGCACACCCAGGCTGTTCTACCTTCCCTGTGTGAGTTTGGTGCCCTCCTGGGGTGTCTCATCCTCTGTTTTCCCACTGCTCGGTTGCCTGCATCCGGCTGCCAGGCAGATGGCCAAGTCCCCTGGAGACCGGGTGACTTTGTGTGTGGAGCTCTCCCTGTGGTAGGCATTAATTGGTGCTTATTTTCATTTCAGATCACACCAGGCTTTAAGGGAAGCTCCAGCGGGTGGGTGGCATAAAGGCAGATATTTTAGCTAAATCTTGTTAGTTAGGGATAAAACTCAGCACTGGCTGCTTCAAACACACTGCTCTCTGCTACTTTTATTAGTCATTATTAGTATTTATTTGTGTATGCTCTGCCTACTCGGTGTTGCCCGCTCTTCCTCTCTTGGGGCGGCTACACCCGCTCGAACTTGAGGAGGCTGCCCCCAAAACCCCCCAAAACAAACAGGAATATTTGAGGAAAGCAGATGCTTTCTGCAACAAATATTTATTTAGTCAAGAATCCAATTTTCCGTTTAAAAAAAAATGGCAACCAACCCTGCTTGTGATTACTGGTAGGAAAGCAGCCTTGATGATGGCCATCTGCAGTGGGACATTCCAGAGTCATAGGAACAAGTCAGCCTAGAAGCCATCTCTGTTTGACAATAATGGGACGATGGGTCACCAAGTGGCAAGACAATTGCTAACAAACCTCGTGCTCAGAGCCTGTTCTCAAGCCCTGACACACATGGGCCTGGAAGCACCACCTGAGTGACAGCAATTGTGCCTCTAACTTTCATTGCATCTTGGCTTTCATTCAGTTGAGCAGGCTGGCTCTGCTGATCATGTTCCTTATTCTGTTGAGCAATGTCACTCTAGTGTAATGTGGCTCAGGCCATATCTAGGGTATAGAGCCTGGGCTTGTATAACTATGCCAGCACAGCCCCCTGCGTAGCCCTTATGTGCCTTTGGCTGGTGTAGTAATACCACCTCCCTGAACAGCATTAGCTATGCCAAGAAAGCACTCTTCTGTTGGCATAGCTGCATCTACTCTGGGGTTTTTATGTAGATAGGGATGTGATATTTTTCACACTCCGAGCCAATATAGCTATGCTGGCATAACTTTCTAGTGTAGACCAGGGCTCAGTGTCTCCCATGTTCCTTACCCTACAGCTCAGTGGAAGGAGGTTACAGGCACAGGTCTCCAAATTCAGGATTTAGGAGCCAAAGATCAAGGAAGTCAGGTTAGAGAAAAGGCAGCACACTGAAAAGACGAATGCAACATGCATATAGATGTTAGGCTGGGCTGAGCATTTGAAAAGCCCACCATCAACTGCTCCTATTACCAGTATTGCTAAATCCAAACCTTCAAAACTCATGTCAGACCTCAAAAAATCATGAGGTTTTTTTTTAAATGAAATAAAGTTGGGGTGATTTTATTTGCCTTCTGTTTTTTTAACTTTTAGGCTGCACTTTGGGTACTTGTTTAAACTTTTCTCTGCTAGAAACATTCACTCCCCCATCCCTCCTTTTAAAAATGAAAGCTCAGATTCACACACATTCCCAAGGCCTGAGCAGCTGAGGCTCCAGGAAATGCACCAAATACTGTGTGAGTTGGCAGTACTGTGACTTCCAGGTAGCTGATAATAGTGTCAGCCATGGCATGATCTGTAATGAAGGTGGATGAGATTCTGAGCTTCACGCTGCAGGATTCAAGGTTCAGGGCCTTCAACCTAGCTCTCCTACATCACAGGGAAGTGCCCTAATCACCAGGCTATAGAGCCAGTGTTTCTCTCTTAGGGTACGTCTACACTGCATGCTCCTTATGGTGGCATATAGTATACATACTCTACATGCCCCCAGCATGGGTATAAATAGCAGTGGAGATGCTGAAGCATTGCTTAGATGAGTAAAGACATGCCTTTAATTTCTCCTGTTGGAGCTGTTCTACTTTGTATCAATAATTAAATATTCATTGGGCCAAGGAAAGAGTTAGAGCACTTATTTTGTGGGTCTGAGAGCCAGATTCAAATCCCTAATTTGGAGCTGGGATTTGGGCCTGGGTCTCCCACCCTTTGGGTGAATGCCACAACCATCAGGTTATTGTGGGCAGGTCCATCTTGTGTTTTTTCACAAAAAATGTGGGTCCTGTACCTATTGGGGTTCAGGAAGTGGGCGGGCGTAAGCCCACCCACTGCTAAAGGGTCCCTCCCCAGCTTAAGGGGAGGATCCATAGGGCCTGAAACTCAAATGATTACAGGGGACAACTAATGTAAAAACAGGGACAGGAGTGCGGTCAAAGGGTCAAAAGAAGGGAATCTGACGGGGACACCGAGCAGAGAACCCCGGACAGCACCCACTGCTCCTCAAAGGTGTCAAGGGAGCCAGTGGACGCCGCCCAGAAGAACTCTGCCCGGATACGTGAACGGACAGAGGATCGGAAACAGGCCCCCCAGTCACAGGAACCTCCATCGGCCAACCTCCTCTCCCTGGTTTTATAGATGGCCTGTTTAGCCAGGGCCAAGAGGAAGTTAACCAGGAGGTCCCGCGACTTTGTGGGGCCATGAATAGGGAGTGCATAAATGAGAAGGTGAGGGGAAAAAGTGTAACCAAAAACGCAACATAATATTGGTGAGTAGCCGGTGTAGGGGCTGCAACCTGGCACACTCTAAGTAAACATGAGCCAGGGTCTCCCTCACGCCGCAGAAAGGACAGGTGTCAGGGATAGGGGTAAACCGCGCCAAGTACACGCCCGTGCTCATGGCCCCATGAAGGAGCCGCCAGCTGATATCCTCGGTGGGCCTCGGGATCAGGATGGAGTAGAGGCTGGCCCACCTGGGCTTC